TTTTTTATAAAATCTTGTTTGCAATATTAATAGGGTTATAATAACTTTGTATGATCCTTAATCTATTTAAGACTTATATTTATTTTTTTGTAAAAACATAAATTATTAATCAAGGAAAAATGTACAAAAGATTATTTATTATTATGTTTAAGATTAAAAAATAAAATAAAAGCTAAAATATCTTTTTAAAAATGGCAAGCTTTAACAAATAGTTGATTATTTATAAGAAAGTAAGGATTAGATTAGATATTAAAGTTTTTTTTTAAATTAATTACAAGTCAGAAGATTGGAGTTAAAATAGTTCTTTTACACTAAAAAATTGATTACAGTAAGAAATTAAAATAATTTAAGTTCTACTTTGATTACAAAATTCTATATTAAAAGTATATTAAAAATTTAAATTTTCGAACTTTCGAACTTTGGTTTGATCGGTTAAAAATTTATTTAGAATTATTATTATTAATTTATCTGTCGATAATAAAAAAAATTGAATATTTGTAAGATATACTTTTATATGCGATATAAACTATATCTTAATATTTATTAAACCATTTCCAGGCAGAACGTTTTTTCAGAGCGGTTTTCAGGGCATACACAAATTTTTTTATTTATATTTCCAAACAAAAGATAATAATTTGTCGATTAATTTTTTGTATAATAAAATATTTAAAAAAAACATGTTCGCGAAAGAATCAATTTAATCATTAATTAAAAAACGCGATTATTATTTTTATTAACAATTTAATAATCGCAAATTTATATTATGAAAAATATTTTCGGCAAATTATTATATTTTGTTTAACAAAAAATAAAATAAATTGTTGGAAACATGCCTAGAAAATCAACTTGAAAAAATATTTTGTCTGGAAATAACCTTATTAATTTTAATGACGATTAATCCAGCCCAAAAACTTAAAATTTATTTATTTTTATAATTAAAAAGGACATTTTAAAAATTTTCAATGATATTTATTAAGTTTTCCAATTATGGTATAAGTCCAATTTAAAAATATCCTTTTGATTCCTAATCATTTTTCACTATTATAATAAATTTTTACTCAAAATGTTATAGGTAAGGTTAGGATTTATTCTTGATTAGGTTGAAACTGATGGCCTATGAAATTCAAAAATATGAAAAACGGAATTATTTCTTATATATTCTTTGAAAATAATATTAAACGAAATTAGGGAAAGTAATATTTATATTTCAATAGTTTTTAAAAAATTCACTAAAAAGGGGGTTTTCTATAATATTCCCAATTGAAGTTTTTTTATTGGGAATATTTATTAAGAATATCTAAGAAATCTCATTTTAACATATTTAAAAAAAATTATTTGATATAAATATTACTTTCCCTAGCATTTAACAAGAAATATTACCAGTTTTTCGCTTTTAGTTCTCTATTTTTGTACCTAAACCAATTAAGCTAAGACCCTTCCATTTAAATTTATTTTAAAATTTGAGCTAATATACACTTATACTTGCTATTTTAAAGTGTTTAATTTATTTATTTTAGTAAAAAAATTATAAATTATTTATAAATTTTACCAATATGCAGAATTTAAGTATGTATATATGATATAAAAATATTAATCGATAGGATTTTAGTAAACACCCTAATATAGATATTTATAATATGATGTAATTTAAAATATTTTGAGGTATATATGTAATATATATTCTGTAGTGTTTAGAGTCTATACAAAATTATGAGTAATAATTTTATGAAGTTCACTAAATGCAAACTAAAGGAATCAGTCGATTTTCTATCGGATTTAAAGATAAGTTAGGATTAATAAAATATCGGCATTTATGGGCAAAAAATATTTACCCGGATTTTATGGGGTTTGGTTACAGATCATAAAAAAAATGTCGCAACCACAAAAGCAGAGGCCAAATATAAATTTATTACAACATGATAAAAAGTTATCAACTCCATAACCTTCCCTAAAATATCAAATTCGACAAATGTTGGACAAACCAAAAATTGAGATGATCTTTTATTACACATAATATTTCAATTATAAACTTTTATATTTCAATAATTTTTTTATTAAATGTTCTTGTTTTAATTCGATTTCGAGATATAATTGTTTAATAAGTTATAAGATTTAAGGCGGGGTATGCTATTACTCTAAATAAATCGGGAGGGGCATGATAAAATTGTCAAAAAACAGAAGAGAACTTTTGCAAGAATTATGGCTAAATTTTTTTAGAGATTTATATATATTATTTTAAATATAAATAGTTTAAATATGATTTATATTATATATATCTATTTAAAAAGTCATATAAAATTTAAATTTATTGCAAATAATATATATTGGAAATTATATTATAATAAAATATATGCCATAAATGGGAATAGATGAAAAAAAGGTTTAAAAAAATTACAATATTGGCCATAGTGAATTTTTTTCAATATTTTTAATTTAATCGAACGTTTCATTGATTAGTTATAGTTTGCAGACCTGTGTGACATGTCAGCCACTTTTAATATATAGAGAAGATTCCACTAACTGAGAGGAGGCCTGTTAACGTTCATCAAAATTAAACTGGAAATGCTTTAACATAAGACTTGCATGGCAATCAGTCATAATGATATTCATAAGGTGAGAGCCATGCCCATATTTCATCGCACTACTTAATACCATTTTGGAACTCCCCTTTCTGCGTAAAGAATGTGAGGTCTAACCAGTTATCTTTTTTTTAAATATCATACAGATAAGATATCTAAAATGATAAAACTGTATAATTTAATATAGTTTTTTTAAAACTAGAAATAACAGAATTAGTAACCTATAGCATATTGTTTATTAAGGCAATATTTTATTTTCCTTGATTCTAGCTTGTCTTCGTTTTCCTTCAGCATTACTAATTCAAATTTATTTATTTATCTAACTTTTTTTAGCTATTTTCATATGCTCTCCTTTAAAATATTAAATAAGCATTTAGGACATCATATATCAAAGCGACAGAACTTTCAGCTTTCTAATCGGGTGGACAGTCTCTTAAATTTCCCACTTTTATTTAATTCTATTGAAATTTTAGTACTTAAAATGCAACTGCTTTACTAATACAAAGGCTGCTAGACACCTATTATACATCAAGTATCTTTCCAATCTTTGGCAACTAAATGCTCAATTCAAATGCTATTTTGTCCAAAGCCTTTTGATTTTTGTTAGCTTGGTTATATAAACTATATATCTTGTCAATAGGCTTTAAAGGGATTAACGCCAATAACACTTTTTCTTGCATTGGACACCGCTAATTCTAAACGGTGATTTAAACAATGCCAGGTATAAATAATTAAACATAATGTGTACATCTTTAAACACGTTCATGGCTAATCAAAACTTATATAATCCCCCCCCCAACCACAGTTCTTTATATTTATATTTTTCAAAACCGTTTTAAGCTATCCATGATTTAGAAATTATCTTCTATTAGTAATATTGCTAACGATTACCAAAACTAACATCGCTTTATTATTAAGGATATGAAAAGTGTGGAATTTCACACTAAAAATTGATTGTTTTTATTATACAATTTGCTTATAAGTAAAGAATGTTGAAAATAATGTTGATTTTATTTATTATGATTTAAAATTGCTTTAGTTAATGAGATATTGTATGTTTTTATATAAATTATTTATAAGAATTTTTTCTTAAATAATAACTTAGTTGTTAGAATTTTTTTTTTAAATATAACTTTATTTTTCAATATGAATTTTATAATAAAACTGTTAAAATTTGTATATTGCTAATATATATAATTATTTTAAAGAAGTTTCACATCTAATTATTATACCTGAAAATTACCATTGGCGAATTAGCAAGATTTTAAAATATCATTTTTATAAACTAATAAAAATTATCTCCCTACACTCCTCACGCTAATGTTGTATCGCTTAAATTTGCCAATTCTAAAATGACTTAAATGACTGACTAAATAATGACCTTAATCTTTAGTTGAGGTTCAACTTATAAGTTTAGGTCATTTTTTAGGCTAAAATTAACCTGTATTATGTCCCTTAATTTAATTGATTTAGAAACATTATTCCCCCCCCCTTCTTCCCAATACCATGTGTCATTATAAGCAATATTTAAAAAATAATAATAAATATGGGAGACCGTGGTTAAATAACTATTAAGATTGATTGGCCCCAGTCTCTATGTTTAGATGTACTTTAAATAAATTTATCACAAAATCGGTCAAAATTTGTATATTTATGATTATGTTATATATAAAAAATATTTTAAAAATTTTTTTAATATTCCATTCTAGTTAAATATGATCATAAAAGTTTTTCCACTTCATCTAGACTACACTTATAACATAACCATAATAGTATAATTCGATAAATTTTACCTGGGTCTACGGGAAAAGGGTATCTAGAGACCAGCCCCCTCCAAAAAATAGCTTGCTAAACAAAAAAATTTTTATCGTTTTAAGTTAATGTTAATATTACATTAATCATGGTTATCTTTTATTCAGTAATTTATTATAAATTATGAATATTTTTCTCTAATAAATTGTATATAATAATTTATTCATTTTCTAAACAGCTTATTCACAAATTCTGTTTAAAAAAATTTATAATTATAATTGATTTAGATTTTTAAAATTTGCAAAATCCAGTGAACAACGTTAATCAATAAATAAGAATGGGTAAGAAAATTTTATTTTACAAATCTTTAATAGGAGTATCATAATATGATAGCTAGAGATGTAAATATAATTAATAGCAAAATTATAATTCATTTCATTCCCTCAATTTTGTTTAAAGTAAACTTAAAACAAGAAAAATGACACCTTTCACTAGTTAAATTTTAATTGGAAGTGAAAATCACTCTTTTATTAAGATTTAAATAAATTATATATTATTAAAAATGAAGAAAAAGTAATATTATAGTAAATTCATTATATAAATTCTTAAAATTAAAAAAATATTGGGGGAAAATTTATTAATAATTTTGTAAAAATATATTATGCTTACTCTATTAAAGCGAATGTTTGTGTTCTAAAAGATTGCATTACCCAAGTATATATAGTATGTATAATTTATGGAATAGAGTTTTAGTAAATAAAAAAATTTCATATAATGTAAATGGACACATAAAAATATTTGACTAAAAATACATTAATATTTTATTATAAAAAAATTATAATAAGTGTTTTTTTGTTATTTTTTAAATATCCAATATAATGCTCTATTAATATGTCAGACCAAGAATTTAATGATATTTTATAGAACTCAGTTTTGATAATTACATTAAGAAATTTATTTGGTTACTATGGCAATTCTCTCATTTAAAAACATTATTTTAGAGTTCTCTTTTTTGGAATTTAATTTCACGTTAATGGTAAACCAATGAAACCTAACAATTTGATCTTTATTTTCTATATATTATATACTCTACTCTCATCATAATAATAAAGAATATATTTTTCAAATATTTTCATAAATGAGATTTTATTATATCAAAAATAATGAACATTAACTTAATGTGCATGTAAAAGATATTTAACTAATTACGTTAGTCCTTCCTGAATAAGTGGTTAGAAATATAATTTTATTACATATTTTATCTTACTCAAAATAATTAAATAATTTGTGAAAAAATAGCTCCTTTTTTAAAGCACAAAACGTAATTTAATAATTTCATTAAATTTATTCTATATGAAATATTAGATATTAGAGAATATAATAATATAAATACTTATATTAAAGAAGAAAAAGATTCAAATAGTAATAGCAACGGTAAATTTACCAAAGTTTATATTTATTCTACATGAAATGTTAGATATTAGAGAATATAAAAATCTAAATACTTATATGAATACAATAATATATACAAAAATGAAAAAGGGACGTAAGCGTTGTCTATGATAGCTCTTTGGCTAGAAGGCTACCATAGAAACTGATATAATTAGCTTTGTGAATCGCTATGGATAATCGTTGACGAAGAAAAAACCCTCTCGGGGTTCTTCTGAGAGTTTGCTGATTTGTGATCCTAATTTTTTGAAAAATGCTAAGGCGAGTTTGCCGAAGGTGCCAAGAGTGGTTGATATGATTGGGATGAAGCAATGATCGTTTATTATTTCTGTGTATTTAGAAATTTTAACTTGTTCCTTCTGGTCAAGGATGTTGATGGCGTGGTTAAATGGGGCCAAGGGGTCAATACAGGAATAGTCCCATACCAAAAGTTGGCCTCTCCTCCATGGGATTTGAGAGATCCCATCAGGAATTTCAAATTCTAGGATAGTGCAAAAAAATAACAAAGGTATTCATTAATTAGTTTTTGTACTATTTTTTTTATCATAAAACAATTTTTGTTATGCTTTTATAAATTTGTAAAATTAGTTTTATATTATACTTTCGAGTATGGTTAATTCAGTAATTTATCTGACTTAGAACAAAATCACGATTAATGAATGCATTTTGATATAAAAATTCAAAAATCATAAAATATAGCATAATTTAAAAGAATGGCAAAATATTTAAATTAAGATAAATAAAATCTGCTTCTATATAAAGCAAATATACTAATGGCAAAAATTGATTAAACCCAAAATAAAATATTAGTTATAAATATTATTTAAAATAAATTAACTAAATCATAAAGATAAAATTCAAAGTTATAAATTTTTTTCAAAAGTTATTATTTTTTTATTTTTATAGCAGCTGCAACCAGGGGCGGATTGGTCAGTAAAATCCTCCACAGGTTCTCGAGATTAAAAATTTGGGGGAATATAGGAAAGAATTTGGGCCTAAAAAAAGAATATTTTTTAAAAAAACAATAAGTATAAAATTTATTTGTATTATACAAATATTTAAATTTCTGATGGAATTATAAGCACTATAAAAGCGTTATGAAAAAATAGAATTTGATTTAAATGTTTAGCCCTAAATAATAGAAAATAGAATTTTATTATTATATTTGTTATATTTAATGGAATGGGCCAAAATGAAAATAATAAACAACATAAACATAACACCCCGTAAATATAATTATTTTAATTTTAAATATAAAATAAAATAAAATATAAAATAAAATAAAATATAAAATAAAATATAAAATAAAATATAAAATAAAATATAAAATAAAATATAAATATAAAATATAAAATATAAAATATAAAATATAAAATATAAAATATAAAATATAAAATATAAAATATAAAATATAAAATATAAAATATAAAATATAAAATATAAAATATAAAATATAAAATATAAAATATAAAATATAAAATATAAAATATAAAATATAAAATATAAAATATAAAATATAAAATATAAAATATAAAATATAAAATATAAAAATATAAAATATAAAATATAAAAATATAAAATATAAAATATAAAATATAAAATATAAAATATAAAATATAAAATATAAAATATAAAATATAAAATATAAAATATAAAATATAAAATATAAAATATAAAATATAAAATATAAAATATAAAATATAAAATATAAAATATAAAATATAAAATATAAAATATAAAATATAAAATATAAAATATAAAATATAAAATATAAAATATAAAATATAAAATATAAAATATAAAATATAAAATATAAAATATAAAATATAAAATATAAAATATAAAATATAAAATATAAAATATAAAATATAAAATATAAAATATAAAATATAAAATATAAAATATAAAATATAAAATATAAAATATAAAATATAAAATATAAAATATAAAATATAAAATATAAAATATAAAATATAAAATATAAAATATAAAATATAAAATATAAAATATAAAATATAAAATATAAAATATAAAATATAAAATATAAAATATAAAATATAAAATATAAAATATAAAATATAAAATATAAAATATAAAATATAAAATATAAAATATAAAAATATAAAATATAAAATATAAAATATAAAATATAAAATATAAAATATAAAATATAAAATATAAAATATAAAATATAAAATATAAAATATAAAATATAAAATATAAAATATAAAATATAAAATATAAAATATAAAATATAAAATATAAAATATAAAATATAAAATATAAAATATAAAATATAAAATATAAAATATAAAATATAAAATATAAAATATAAAATATAAAATATAAAATATAAAATATAAAATATAAAATATAAAATATAAAATATAAAATATAAAATATAAAATATAAAATATAAAATATAAAATATAAAATATAAAATATAAAATATAAAATATAGAATATAGAATATGTTACCGGCCATAAAACTGCCCACCCTGCATTTTTATATAAAAAAATTAATAACTTAAAACTTTTTAACTTATTTGGGTAAAAGCGAATTGATTAATTAATTTAAGATGTCTAGACATGTTTAGAAATAAAAAACTCGGAATTTCTATAAATCTTTCTATGAAATTTTAGCCTTTGAAAACAATTTGTCAAAAATGACCAATTTGGTAAAATAGGGTTCATTAGTTTTTTTCAGCAAAAATTTTAAGTTGCCCATTGTTTTTTGGAAGAAAGTCATTAATCACATTCTAATCTGCTTATTAATACCTATTTTTAATTATTTTAAAAGAAAATTCCTAGATTTTTTTTTGTTTTAAATCATTGTTTAAATAAACCTTCAGTCTTTATAAATTTTAACGAACATTCGACCAAAATGATTAAAAAAATATATATTTCTATTCCAACTAAATGCAAAATAATTAATTTACACATAAGTGGTAAAAGTAATCGCCGAATTGCCAGAGAATTAACTCTAGCTCGACGAACAGTCGATTGTATACTTAAAAGATTACGCAACAATAATACAATATCGAATCCAAAGAGGCCTGGAAGACTCCGCAAAACAACTTTAAGCGATGATAGGTATATAGCAAGGATCAGTACAATCGACGCCTTGTCGCCTCAAAGATAGCTGCGGAGATTAATCTGGCTCGGGAAAACCCGATAAGTGTCACAACTGTGAAAAGGTGCCTTAGGAGCTTTGAACTTTATGGTAGGGTAGCGGTCAAATAACCAATCTTGAGCAAAAAAAATATACTCAAGCGATTAGACTGGGCACGAAAACATTAATTTTGGATATCTGCCAACTGGTACCACGTCTTAAGGAGTGATGAGTCAAAATTCGAAATCTTCTGTTCTAAAAGAAGGCAATATATCGGCCGTTCAGCTGGAGAGCGAATGAACGATCACTGCGTAATTCCTACAGTCAAGTTCGGGGGTAGATCAGTTATGGTGTGGGGGTACTTTGATGCCGGGGCAGCCGCCGACATTGTCAAAATTAAGGGAATTCTTAACAAGGAGGGAAACCGTCAAATCCTTGAGGACCATGTGATTTCATCAGGAAAGTGTTTGATCGGGAGTAACTTTTTATTTCAACAAGATAATGACCCAAAGCATACATCCAGGCTATGCAAAGATTATTTACAAAATCTACAACAACACGGTATTCTCGAATTGATGACTTGGCCATCCCAGTCTCCCGATCTCACTCCAATCGAACTTTTATGGGATCCCCTTGATCGACAAGCGCGAAAAAGCCCTCTAACCTCTCATTCGCACCTTTGGGAAGTATTACAGAGAGAATGGAACAATTTCACTTGCGAATATTTAAAAAATCTTATCGAAAGATTACCAAAAATTTGTTATTAAAAATAAAGGTTGTCATATTGATAAGACCAAAATTTGATCTTAATTAATTGCTATGTCTTTTATTTTTTGTAATTTTATGAAATAATATGTAAACTTATAAATATATTTGATAAACCTCATATTGTGTGTTATTTGTCTTATTTTAAGAAAAATATTAAGAAAATGCAGGGTGGGCAATCATTTATGGCCGGTAGTGTATATAAAATAAAATGGATCTTTTTAAAAAATGTATTTTGGCATAAAAAATAAAATATTTAAATTTTGAGGCACATAAAACAAAACATTAATTTTAAGTTAAAATTAAGCCCAGAAATCTTTTCCCTGTACCTGATTTAAAATACTGGTTGGTTAAATTATTTTTGTAAATCTTTTAAAGAACTTAAAATAGCAAGTGAAAATCCAAAACAGTAAAAGTTGTTTTTTTCAATATAACAACAAAATCACCTTCA